AGACAATGAAGGTGTGTATACTGTAATAGGCAGAGAGGTTGCATTTACTTATAAAGTGCTACCTTTGAAACTTTTATGGGGTTTTTTCTAAAAACTGTTTAATAATTCCATAAAATACTTTACGAAATGTAATAGATTATTTTAGATATTTTAGAAGATTTGTATTTATCATGCTAAAATTCAATGATCCTAAAACCAAAGGAAGTTTTTCTCAGTTCGAAGAACTAATAAGTTTCCAAATAACTTTGTGCACTTTAAACATATCTCTAGTTTCTATATATTCTACTGACTTTTGACTTGGGGAGAAAATAGCAACAAAGCGTAGATGGGGAGATTCAGAGACAAGGAACAAGTCAAAACAATGTTTCCCCTCTATCGCTGTGGCGACATCTTTCTCCCTACCATATTCCCCCTGTAACCCTCCTGCCTTGACCACTTTTATTTTCATGCCTCAATTGATGCACCCCTTCCCATTTTCCCTCCTCCATTTCCCCGCCTATTTCCCTCACCTTGTACCGCTTGGCATCCTCTCTCTCCTCGGAGTGAAAAATTGATTGTCATGCAAAAGTGAACTTTAGTTTCGAGTTTTTTTCGAGTGAAGTGAGTGAGGTGAAGAGGCCCAGTCAAGAGTGGAGAGAAAATGTATATAAATAAATACATAAAGCCATTGTCATTCTTCTTCTACTCGTTCGTGGCTTCCGAAAGCGAAAGAGTTCGAGTGAGAGCACAGAAAGAAAAATATTTAGGGAGGAAAAAACATTAAATATTCATAAATATTTCCAAATAATTTCATATAAACTCAAAGCTTAAATGAAAATTCCAGAATTTATATAAATAATTTAAAAGAAATGTGATCAAGTTATATAAATCCCCTCTTTTCTATTTTATCCTAATAATTCCTTGGTTTTTTTTAGTGCATCAGTTTAGCATGAAAAGCTATACCTCGATTTTAAGACCCTCGCTTTTCCTGATACTCCTGTCTGCCTCCTCCTCCTATTGCCGCTTTGAAGTTTGTTGTTGTAGTCATTTGTCACTCGAAAAGGATGCAAAAATTAAAACATGGCCCAGTGAGAAGTGATGGCCTATTGGCGGAAGCATCGGTTAAGAGGGGGACTCTCCCGAGGGGTCAGAGAAGTGCAAATGTGTGCCATGACAGAAGCGACGGAGCGGAGAAGCCAAGGAGCAAACAGGGGGGAGGAGGTCGTCGTCGTCGTGGTCGTTGTTAAGTGGCAAACGAAGTCAAACGGACGGCGACGCTTTTATTTTTGATGCTTCGCTGCCTCTTTGTGTGCCATCTACTACGCTTCTACTCTCTACTCTGGCGCTGCTCCTCCGACTTTCGTGCTCTACGAAATTGGCCAGAAAAGGCTGGCCAAAAACTGGCACGTTCCTATAGCTATAGAGAGCTTGCTGCTCGATCCCCCCGACGACTTCCCATGACAACATGACAACAAAGAGGTCATTTACTTTCCTTGCGAGCATGAAATAATCGTTCGTCGTGGCTCTGTGGCTCTGGATAAAAAATGTTACAAAAAAAAAAGGCAAAAGAGCTCAAAAAGTCAGGCCAAAACCAAACAAAGCGCAAAGCAAAAGTTAAACTCACATATTTCGGGCAAAATAAAACGCAAATGCAACAATGACTATTGCAAATGTAAGATACATTATCAACTGAAAGATACCCTTTTTTATAGTACTCTCTCTTTTTTTAATTAAAGGGTCCATAGAAATAATAATATAATTATCAGTAGTATAATATTAACTAACAAACTATATACAAATTTAAATAAGGCATCTTACAAGGGCAAACTGTAACCTTAATACTTTTTCGATCCCTCAAAAAATTACAAAATAAATCCTGGTTAAATTCCCTAATTCCGATATACCCTTTCATTACATCTAGAGCGGCAGGAAGGAAAATATAAAGCTCAGAGATAAATGAAATTGGCAACAGAGGCGACAGACAGGCACAGAGGAGGATATAGGCACGGCCACATTTATAGGCTGCAAGCGGAAGCCAGTCAAGTTGACTTCTCCATTTCGGTTTGGCATTTTATATTTTTGTGTTTTAATTTTTTTTCGGTAGAATCAAAAATCGATTAACGAAGCGCCGCTGCTGACGCCGGCAGCGATGCGCCGCAAAACTTTAACGGCATGCATTCAAAAAGACATTTCTCGCGTGCCACAATCTCTATGTGTGAGTTTGTATCTATGCGGAGAAGAAAGAAATAAGAGATAATTGGTATAAAATGCCCGCTTATTGCCGTCACGAGTATCGATTTCTATATCAAGAAGGATGTGTCACGTGCAGGAGCTGAGATGGCAGACAAAGCGAAATCCTAATGCAATTTCCAATGTTTCAACTACAACTATTCCTGTTTAAAAATTGGGGTGATCCAAACAAGACATATATCACATTTCTCTCTTATTTTTCCCATATGAGGTAATCAGCAATTGTTCAATTTCCATGACTTTAAATTACCCACAAATCATGGCGTAAGCTCAAACTTGAATTAAATGTCGGAAAACAATAGTTTAAATTCAGGTTCTGATCTCATAGGCTTTTATTAGTCAGGCCTTGTTTTGTTGAGTGTCATAAAAAGCAAGTTTAATGGCGAATTGAGAATAATAAATCTAAAACTAAAAATACTAAGTATAACTTCCACCAGTAAATAAATTTAAAACAATAATAAGAATACAATAATTTCGGTTAGTTTGAGATTGTATTTTTAATAATATATTTTATAAAAGCTTTTACAAGAAATTATTTACTTTTCAAATACATTTTAATAACAGGTTTTCACAGTATACAACAAAAATCCCGCAATTACTGAACGATTGAACCCCTCTCTCACAGCTGGAATCATATTTGTATTGTCAAGCCTCTCTGCTCTAATCTCTCACAGCCTTCTATTGCTCAACTTTTGAAAAAGTTGTGAAATGTGTGCATGCATTTAAATTATTTTGCAATCACACACAGACAAGACACACATTGACACACCCTACTTACACAGCAAAATAATGGCTGGCGCAAGTTAAACACACCAAAACTACAAAGGAAAACTAATGCAATTTAATGTAAAGGTAAACTTATACGTCTCAAAGCCCCCATCATTTCCCCCATTCCCCGTTTTCCATGCTCATGTTTACAAGTTTCAGCATTTCCATTAGGCGAAAAACACACACCGACATAGAAACACAAAGACGAGAATAAATGTTTTATAACCGACTTCGGGTGCATCTTATGTGTTGTTGTTGTGACTTTAAAATAGTTTTCATTACTCCATTGTCTATAATTAGAAACTGCTGACTGCTGCTGGAGTGAATACGAAGAAGCAGACTGCCAAAGACAAGAGAATCATCTATAATTAGGATGTTTAGACGGGGAGCCAGAAGAAGGGGGTCTGGGGTTTGGGGGTATTGAGATTGACACGTTTCAACGCTGATACTCAAGAGCGTCCGATTGCCAATCGGAATTTGTTGATGGATTCAATACGGTTGGAAATGAGAGACCGACTCTAGGCTGCGACACTAGTGTAAATGTTTGCCTCTCCGTCTCGAGTGTAGCCTTATCAGCGCCCAAATTTCATCGAAACCAAAACATAAACACAGATTGTTGCCAAGCCAAGGGCAAAAACAAAAAATATATACTAATAACAAGTAAAAGAAACTAAAGAAGGGCACTTGCACTCACAGTCTCAAGTCTGTGACATAGAGACAAACAAATGTTCAATAAAAATAAACTGGAATTAAGTGTAAACCAATAAGCTCAGGGGCACCTTTAAAGAAAAGGAAACGTAAGCCCCACTGGTCATCAACGCTTCTCCAACAGCTGTGCTCAGAAAATTAGCTGGAAATCCATTAAACTAATTAGCAAATTTTAGTGCAAAAATTGATTTAAAAATCCACATTTTCACATTCTTTTTAAAAGAATCTCAAATTCATTATTTTTTAATTAAATTAAATTTGCAAATTCTTCTTTTTGCGAACATTACTGTATCAGATTTTAGGCATACACATGTATGTATGCATGCATGTGTATTGTGTGTGGAGAACGCATGAAATAAAAAAAAAAACTGGTCTCAAGTCTCGAAAATATGCGCTCAAGGTCGGTCAACGGATTTGCTTTTGTTGCTTTTGCGGAAGACAACAGCAACAACAACAACAAATGCAGCTGCAACTAAACAACAACAACAAGGCAATGCCCAGAAAGACACAAAGTGATCGCAAAAGCTGAGCTGCAACAGGCGCCGTCAAAAGAGAGCAAGCGGAGGGGGTCACAGAGTGAAAGAGAGGTAGATAATTAGAGAGAGTCCGAAAATTCTTTCAGCGGAAGCAGCCGCGGCAAACGTAAATTAAAAGCAATTGTAGAAATTTCCTGAGTTGGCGAAAAAAATATGAATAGTTGTTGTTGCCACCCGCGCACTTTGCACAGAAAAAAATAGACAATAAAACCAATTATAAGGAATTTCTAAATCTAAAAACAATGCTAAAGCTAAATAAAAAAAAAAAATGTTATTGCATTTTTAAAATCCTTTTCAATTCCAAAATATTATCTTCTCATGCAAATCGATCCTTGAATATGGTAGCAGATCATTGCTACTAGTTTTTCTCCGTGTACTATTTTACACCCACACAAACACTGGCGAAGCTGCGCCGTTATTTTCCAGTAAATATTTGAATTCCGCGAAGCGAAAGGAAAGGCAGCCAAACAACTTTTGCGGTTATTAAGCATAGGATAATAAACAGAGAAGCGGAGCAAAAGGCACGCATGATCAATGGGGGGAGAGGCCGGGAGAATGGGCAAATAGGAGAGTGGGAGCGGGAGAACATGCCCATGGCCATGTGCCAGCTAGCCGTCCCGCTCTGGCGCCCGCAACAAGTGCACTAAGCGAGCCGAAAAAAGGAGCCACCAAAATAATAAAAAATAAAACAAAAGCGAAACCCAGAATTTAAATGGGAAATATACAAGTTGGAGGAAATAGAACACCACTGCTACTCACTTTGTCCAGACACTTGAGTTCCTCGATGGGATAAACCACCTTCTGACAACGCGCACAGGTCTTGTTCATCGTGTTGCTGTTGTTGGTCTCCTCTCTTCTCCTGCTTCTCGTTTTTACCGCTGCTTACGTTTTTGTTGTAAGCCTGTGTGTATGTATAGCACTTTTATTTACAAAGGATGCTTATTGTTGCTTAACTATTTTGGCCGATTTTATGGGGGGACACTACTCCACTTTACACACGATGATTACGCTGCTCTCCCCGATCAATTTTGCATTTTGCGACTATTCTGTGTATTTTTTTGTATTCTGGAAGAGTATATTTGTGTGTGTTGTTTTGAAGCCGAGAATTTGTTTAGCACGCACACAAAACAGCTAATAACAGGTTTGCTTGGTTTTGTTGTTTTCGATTTTGTGTTATATAAATCGCAGCGCCCCGTTGTTCAATTTACACTTTTCTCCGTGTTTTCGTTAATATTTTTCAGCTGCTGCGACTGCGCTGCTGCGCTGCGGGTAAGAAAGCGACGCGCGCACCGAAAATAAAGAGCGAGAGAGAATGGCGTTGGCGTCGCAGTCGGCGCAGGTGATTAATTCCAAATTTTGTTTTTTAAGCCTTGCGACCTGTATTTTGTTTAATTATGGAATTTTAATGCTTTTTAATATGGTTTTTGGTGGAGGCGCGACAAGAAACATACGAGAGAAACCCGTAAAATATATTTTAAATTGTTGTCACTTCAACACTGGTGCTGCCTTTACTTTCAACTCTTATTCAATAGCAATAAACTGCATTAAATCGGTTAAAAAGCAGTTTCCAAGAATTCGGTTTCGTCCGCGACTTTTTTGATTCCGTTCGATTAGAGTGACCCGAGTGATTTGCTCAGTGTTGCTGTGGCTTTCCCCCTAAAAAATCTCAAATAGTTGAAATCCCCTAAAAAATCCAGTTCTCCCGCAAAATTTTTAAAATTCAGTTAATTTATAAAAATATAAAGAAGAAACATCCAAATGTTTTTTTTTATTTTTATGTTTTTTTATACATACTAATAAAAGTTAAAAAAAACACTAAGCTTTCCCTCTAAAAATTCGTCCCCCGGTACTATCGATATTCCGAGGTATATTTTAGGCGACTGCAGTGTGGTCACTCTATTATTTTTATAAACATTTGCCATTCGCCCCGAAGATTTAAATATTAAATCTATAAAAATTGATGAAAACTAACTAAAACGCAGCATTTTGATTCGATCCAAGAAACGTATTTCGAAATAAAAGCTAGAAATTTCACTGGCCCAACGAAAATATGAGGAAAAGTCCCCCATCACCTGTGTTCGATAGCACCGATAACCGCCATACCGGCTGCGGCACAGGGTGTCCCCGGCAATTCACCACCCACCACCCTCGTATCCTTGGAGTTTTAAGCCTAGTACTCTGACGAGAAAAACCCGCTGTCTAAATTAGACAGCGGAATCGCTGTTTATTTCGCTACCGAGCTAGTGTGACCAAAAAAATTAAGGAAATTCCATGAAAATGTACTTTTTATGGCGTTTAAGGACATTCCTTGGTCACACTGGACAGCTGTTTGTAAACAAATATTAAAAAAACATATTAAAAATATTAATAAATATGGCATTAAAATGTCCTTTGTGGGTTAAATTCCATATTATGGGCTTCCCCTTGACAGCCCCTATCAATGCCACCTTTTTCCTTCAACTTTCCCTCCATTAGGGGTGTCTAAATAAATCAAATGAATTATTTAGACAGCGCGATATCAGCTGTTTACTATCTTGATCTGGCAACGCCATTCAATTTTCGCAGGCTTCATTTTCGTCGTCAGAGTACCGAAAAAAACGACGTGTCTAAAATTTCTTCTTCTTTTTTTTCGACACCGTTTTTTTTATATGGAGTTTGGCCGCTGTCTAAATTTATACAGCGTTTTTTTCTCGTCAGAGTACTAGGCTTTACTATCGAATTTTTTGTGTGTGTCCTGCAGCCTCAGGGCGTATGACTAACTTGACTTAAATAAACCGAAAAACCCACAATAATCGGTGAAAATCAATAGCCAAAGATGTGCTGAGCACGGGTGAAGCATAAAACAGTGTGTAAATAGCAGGCGAAAGAGTCGAATTGGATTTTTCTTTGCTCTGCAAAATTCAAACGCGAGTGTGTCACTCAATTCTTTGTGCTCCCCTTTTACGACGTCAAAAAAAAAAAAACAAATTAATAGAAAACCTTTGCCATTTAAACGTAACGTAAGAACAACGAATAAGTATATTCCAAAGGACTAAATATTCCGCTGCATCATGAAAGGCGTAGTAGTAATTGCATCCCAGTCCCACCCCCCGAGACGCCTTAAAGTAGGCAAAGTGGAAATAAACACGCACACAGATGCCACCATTGAAAAATCGATAATCGGCGCATGTGTGTGCGAGTGAGACCGATGCCGGCGTGTACAATCGACCGAGTGGCATAATAACAACAACAACACACACACTCGACTCGGCCGATGCGAACAGCAAGACAAGTGTAAACAAAGAAGCACAAAGGCAGTAAAAAGGGAAAACACAACGAAGAATAAAGATAAATACTGTTAGAGCGGTTGTCCCACATATAAAATAGGAAATAAACAACGTTAGCAATAAAAGCACAATCATTATACGCAACATTATTCGAGGCCAAAGGAATTACTACACGAATGCCAATCAGCTTTTTCTGAGCAAAATGCAGACGCTGCGCAAGAAAACGAGTCCTTGTAAATGTAAGTTCAAATTATATTTTAAACTTGGTTTGGCTATTTTTCTTTTTTAAATTCCGATTGACCAAAAACCACTATTTTTCGCTTACCTATCGATCGTCTAAGCTGAGATATCGATAGGCCAGCTGCTGCGCCGGCGTCGTCGCAGTCGGCAGGTGGTGCAATTAAAAAAAAAAAATTTTAAGGAAAACAACAACGAACAGCAACAATTCGCTAAAGATATCTGCGTTTTCCACCATGAAATTCTCCAAATAATAGAGTGAAATCAGTGTGCGCGGGAGTGTGTGTGCGTCCGTGTATGTTTTTGTTTGTTATTTAAATTGAACAAACTGCGACAGTCGTCCAGCGAGAGAATCGCTAGTGCTGCTCTCTCATTCGGTTTTATTCATTCCATGATCTCGGATCCGCCGTGCGCTCGTTCTCTCCTAGAATTTAATTAAATGCACAGCAACAACAACGTACGTCGCGAAAAATCGTTGCTTTGCCGTCCCCTCTGTGTACACTCTATTTGTTTCATCCCACTCCGCCCACCCGTTTCTCCTTTCTCTCCATGGAAATGTCAACACAAATACACACAAAAGTGGAACCAAGAATGCGACAGCAGTGATTTCGGTGATTTGTTGACACTCGAGTGACTCCAGAGCGGTGTTCCAACGCTTTTCCAACAACGGGTGACGGGTAACAGTGTTGACTGAGCCGCTGGCGAAACATGGTCAAATCCCTGGTGGCCAAGCTGTCCACAGCCTCCTCCAATCTCTCGTTGGCCAGCACCTTTGGCGGCGGCAGCGGCAGCGGCGCGGTAGAGGAAACGAATTACGCAAAACGTTAGCAAAAACAAACGAAGCAATATATACAAATAACAAGCACAGTGGTCGCTCGCTAAGGGGAATGAGGCTTAAAAAACTTGAATACCCTAATTTTAAAGTGAAGTTTATGGGGGATTTTGGTACTAATAACCATATAAAATTTTAAATAATTAAAATAAAAAAATAAAAGTATAGTGTGCTACCGTTAAAATCAAGAAAGTTTACTGTAACAGTGTTTTAATATAAAAAAAAAAGAAATTGTACTATTTGTGTTGAAATTCACTAGCATAAACTAGATTTTTAGGTTTTAGCCAATTTATTACTATTAATTTTCCTTTCTTAAGAGGCTGTACTGTAAATCCAACAACGACCTTGACTTTGCCTAAGCGGAAAAACTTCCGAAAACTAAAATTCAGGTCATTTAACCGGAAGAATAAGTAAAGTTTTTAAATAGGAAAAAGACTAGCAATATTGTAATTTATTTAACAGCTGTTTAAGCTAGAGGTTTACGCCGATGGTTAAAGGCATCGGCGGCGGCGTAGAGGTCAAAATGACTCGGCGGCGGCGGCGTAGTAGTCAGAAAGAACCGGCGGCGGCGGCGCGTCAAATAAGGCAAAAAGGCCATTTTAATGAGTTATTTTTTTTTTTTTTAAGTTTTATAAAGAACAATGACACTGAAGGCCGCGCTGAAGCTGCGCCGATGCCGCACCAGCGGCGCGCCGCGGCGCGCCGTTATTTTCATAATTTGGCGGCGGCGCGTCAAATAAGGCAAAAATCGGCGGCGGCGGCGGCGTGGCGCGGCGGCGTATATGTCTAGTTTAAGCAAGATTTTAGAAGAATATAATATATATTATATAAAACATTTTTCGATAGCCATTAACGACTGCAAAATTAATTGCTAAATGCAATCAAAAAATTATTGTATACAAGTAAATATAAAGTTATTTATAGCTGAAATCCATTAAGTATTGAGATCATTCGATGAAAATTGATCAGCCAAGCGAAAAATCACTAAAGTGCCTGGAAAATAAATTATTAAAAACACACACACATTTGCCTGTATATTCCAATTAAATATGCCGAGGCTATGAAATATTTATTGAAGAGTTATTTATACAGAAAATGATTGGAAGCGCATTTTAAAACTACAAATTAGGATACTATTTTAGCAAAGTGCCAAATACTTACACCAAAATTACATTAAAGTAAGATTTTTGTGTATTTATTTAAAAAACAAAGCTTAGTGCAAGGTATTTCAATTATTTCTATATAGAAAAATTACTATAGAAAACGTTTCTATAAGCCGCACCCCGGAAAACTCAAGGCTTTCCCAAACTAGCGAGTGACCACTGCTGCCCCACTCCTAAAAAAACATTTTAGTCAAACAAAAATTAGCCAAATACGAACACACCTTTGAGCAAAAACCCACACAGGTACTAATTTTGGAATACTATTTACCCCTTTCCATTTGCTATTTTCCAGATCGCAACGATCCGGGACGCTTTTTCGGCGATGGCGTCCAGTTCAAGGCAAAGCTCATCGGCATTCTGGAGGTGGGCGAGGCCCGTGGCGACCGCATGTGCCAGGAGGCTCTCCAGGACCTCAAGATGGCCATCCGGGCCGCCGGCGAGCATAAGCAGCGGATAACCATCCATGTAACCATCGATGGGCTCCGCCTTAGGGATGAGAAAACAGGAGACTCCCTGTATCATCATCCTGTCCATAAGATATCCTTCATTGCCCAGGATATGACCGATTCCAGGGCCTTTGGTTATATCTTTGGGTCGCCAGATAGCGGGCATCGGTTCTTCGGCATCAAGACGGACAAGGCGGCCAGCCAGGTGGTGCTGGCCATGCGCGATCTCTTCCAAGTGGTCTTCGAGCTTAAGAAGAAGGAGATTGAGATGGCACGCCAGCAGATACAGGGCAAGTCCCTGCACGACCATGCCAGCCAGCTGGCCTCCCTGTCCTCGCTGAAGGCCGCCGGCCTGGGTGGCGTATCCCTCGGTCACGGGGATTTGGCCAGCGGAGGAGGAGTCGCCTCCGGGCATGCACTAAGCCTGCTAGGGGGTAGTCTTAGCGGTGCCTCCAATGGAACAAGCAGGCTGGGCGTAAGCCTGGATGTGGCCAAGGTTACAGGAGCGGCAGCCAAGGAGGTAAGTATCCAAGGGATTAGCCAAGCCGGAGTCTTTTACTAACAAAATCCCTCAACACTTACAGATCTCTCCCGAGTCCGTGGCCGATCTGGTAGATCTCGAGCAGGAGCTGACCTCGCTGCAGAGGGGTATCAGCCAGATGGAGCGGATTACACCCAATGAACCCACCACCATGGGTTCAAGCAGTGGTGGCCATCCCTCATTAGCCAAGTCAGCCAGTGAAGACGATCCCTTTGGGGACTCGTTCATCTATGTGCCCTCCTACAGCATCCTGCCACCACCTCCCGAATCTGGACGTAATAGGCACAAGCCTCCAAATAAGACCCCGGAGACGGTGGCCAGTTTGGAGGCAATGCTTTCGCCACCCCCAGGAGCAAGTAACTCCCAGTCTCCGGCCACCACAGCTTTGCAGGCAGCAGCGGATAACGATGATGATGATAACTGGCTGCAGGAATTGGATCAACAGAATGATGTCTTTGACACCACGAAAGTAGTGAGCGGCGTCGGAGTTGGCGGCAGTGTTCTAGGTTCCGTGTTGGCCATGGCTCCCTTGGCCTCCAGCGAATCAACAGCCACGCCCACACAGCAACTAACAGAGATGGCAGGTGGATCTGCTGGTCCTCTATCAGATCTGGATATGGGCTTGGGCATGGGTTCAGCCCTGGGAACGTCAACGGGTTCAGGCAACGAGGAACAGGCCTCAACGGTCTTGTCTCTGGGTGAGTTTTAAAAGTTCATTTCTGTCCCTCTTTCTCCTGCTGGTGTCTCTCCATCCATCTTGTGCTCATTATTAAAGTTGTCATCTGTGTGTTTGTGGAATTCTGTCGCTTTGTGAGATTTGTCATCAGACATTTTCCGCCACTTAAGCGATGAAAGAGCTGTCTGTGATACATGGAACGAGAGATATTTGTGTCTGCCGGCCAAGGGAACGATATATGGGAGTAGGCTGGGTCAATTTAATTGAACTGAACTTTATGCTTGAATAGGGAACTCTTTTAAGAGATCTTTACATGAATGGTTTTTTTTACGGGAATATACTTTTACAAAGAATTTTTGAAGAGCTTAAAAAATGTATGCATCTTACTTTTAAGTTTGAATATTTTAAACCTGACATTTTCAGAGACTGGATTTGAGTTCAGAGCATCAAAAACTATCGGAAAAGTATATTCTGGTCCTAGGATCCTGTTATATCTTTGTGACAATAAAGTTTAAGAATTAAACCCTCCCGATCTGCTATATTTCAAACTTAACTACTCCCTTCCATTGTCTCGGCAGCTCTTTTAACGAATTTCAACTCAGAATTACTTTATTTCCATATAATTTAGTTAAATATTTAGTTACCTGTGGTTTTTGTTAGTTTTAAACCCTACATCCTATTCCCCCAATCCAAAACTCACTCACATTAACTCCTTAATAAATCAGAATCCTTTCAAAAAAGTCGTCTTGAGTTCATACTTTTAAACTCTTTATGAGTTATTCTTCAATCTTTGAGTTTTGTTTCGATTTTGGAAGCTCCCTTCCGTAACTCTGAAGCTTTTTCCTCTCAAATCTCAAACCATATTGTTCCATTGTGCAGATGCGTTCACGGATCTGGATCCGCTGGGCACGGGACGCACCAGGCCGTATGTCGATAAGAAATACTTCTTCCAAGAGCTAAAGAATCCACCAAAGAAATTGCTGAAGGAGCTCAGCTCCGGCAGCCAGGCGGGTCTTGGCCTGGGTGGTCTCACCCTAGGCCAGACGGATGGCCTCTTTCCGGAGGATAGCACCACCATCTCCACCATTACCACAACCAACACAGCTACTAACATCACCACAGGTACTAACCAATCACAAAAAGAGGAAAAGAAAAACCTAACTAACACCATTTTCAAGCAAAGAGAAAAAGTTTTGGCATTAAAAATGTACAAATTAATTTTAAATTAATTCAAATTTTTTCTTTGTGCTTAACAAAAAAATTTGTTTTGAGCGAGCATCTCTCTAAAGTTTGCACTTGCACCGCAGGGAATCCGCTACAGAACTCGGCTAACACACTAACCACCACCGCTAGCACCGTCGCCAGTCTGGGCCAGCTCCTGTCATCCGTTAACGTTATTCCTTCGACTGTTCCCATTCAACCTTCAGCTTCCCTTTCCCTGACCACACCCACTCCCTCAGCCATTTCCATTTCCCATTCGATTCCCTCGAGCGCCGAGCTAAAACTATTGCTTGGCCATATCACTAATCCGCCTAATCCCACCGGCCACTATTATACCACAGAACCGTCAACGCTGGAGGATCCACACTCACATGCGGCTCCGCAAGCGGATCCCGTGCTGTTGCCTAGAGATACGGATCCGTTTTCGCCCACGCGCAAGAAGAGTGATCCGGATCCGTTTCAGGAGGGCGATCTTTTTGCCAAACTGGATGCCTTTGAGTTTGAGGCTCCGCCGGCGATTCCAGCTCCCTCGATACCGGAAGCAAAGACCAACGTATTCAATGGACCACTCCAGGTACAGTTGCCGCCGGAGAAAGAGCAGCAGCAACAGCATACTCTCCAGCTCCAGCAGCCGCCAAGTACGGTGAGGAACAGACCCACAGCCTCGGTGACTGCCCTTCAAAGTGGCGGGAGCAGCGGTGGACCCCTGGATGTAATCTCCAGTATTAGCAACAAGAAGATGCCCCATTTGTTTGGCCAGTCGAGATCCTTTGGCAAATCCGGTTCGGATATAGGTTCCAGTGTTAATATGCGGCGTTTGCAAGAGAGCGATTCCCTGAGCGAAACAGAGGCGGCACCAGAGCCACCGCCACGTCCAGACTCGGCTCCGTACTCGGAACCGCCGCCGCTGCCGCCGAAGAAGCAGTTCAGCGATCTGGTGATCCGACCCACGCCCGCTAATCCCGTGCCACCGCCCACCGCTGGGAGGTATGAATACTTGAATAGCAGTGCTACAACTGGGAGGAGGACTCTTTCAGATGCACCGCCCATTCCATTGCCATCACGACGCGTGGGTCGTTCCGATGGGTGTTTTCCGGGACCGGGAAGGCCTAGAAAGCCAGGACACACCGAAGATGATTACTTGGCGCCTTTGGGGGCTCCACCGCCTTTGCTGCCGCCCCCAAGCCAAGGATCTTCGGCCAGGGCAAGACCGCAGCGACAGGCATCTCTGGGAAGACCTCAGGATATATACGAAAACAAGGCGGAAATCCTGCAGGCTCAAGCCCAGGCGCAGCAGGCACAGCAAGCTCACGAGGGCAGCTCCACCACCCTTGCTCCAGACATCACCCTGACGCAGCTGCTCACCCTGGGCATGGATGACCTGGCCGTGAAGCTAAATGTACCCGCCAGCAAGCTGAGCACTATGACGCTGGTCCAGCTAACAGCCTACCTTTCCGAGTATTTGTCCAGTGAGAAGAGCCAGGAGCGAAGATCCTCCCCAGCCAATCCATCACCTGCTCCAGCAGCCTCCACGGCGGCCGTTTTCAAGGTCAACTTTGATCAGCAGACCTCCTTTGTGGCCAAGTTTGATGACACTTTCGGCGAGGATGAGGTGGTCCCCATGGACTCCAACTTTGTGGCCAATTTTGCCAATTTTAATGAAGCTCCCGCAGCGATGCCTATGCCAGGTGTATCTCCTGTGGCGGCCACAGTGCCCTCGGCTGATCGGTATGCTGTATTCCGAGAGATTATAGACCAGGAGCTGCAGCAGCAGCAGCAGGAAACCGATCTCATGGGGGATCTAACGCCACCGCCCATCGATGAGACGCAAATCAAGGAGATCCACGAAGGAGGAGGATTGGAGGTGAACAATATGGGGCCAGAGCTACCTATTGATGCATTGGAGGTTACACCAGCGCCCAAGATTGATACCAAAATCACTGAGGTGGTGGCCCAGGCCAAGGATCGTTATGCAGCCTTGAGGGACATCATCCTGGTGGAGAATCTCTTCGATAAGCCGGCGGTGTCAGCTGCCAGTTTGCAGCCCCAGGAGAAGGAAAAGGATTTGCTGCAGGACTTTCCCGAGTTTAGTGATGAATTCAATGAGGACCACGACCTCCGTCAGATCATGGATCATCAAGATGCTCATCAATCGCAGCATTCCCAGAGTCGTCATGGTCTCGTGGACAGTCGGGGCTTCCCAGCGGAGCCCTCGTCATCCGCTTTGACAGTGGACGACGATGACGAGGATGAGGATGCCGATGCTGGTGGTGAGAGCAGTCTGGATAGCAATGAAAAGGATGCGGAACCGGTTAGTGGACAGGATCAGTATGAGAAGTTGTCCACATCCACACAGCAACTAGATGCCGCTCCTCCCCATCCGGAGGATGTGTCCCAGCCGGCACAACCACAATCCGTGCCTCCCAAGCAAGATCAGAAATTCCTATCTGTTCTCACTGCTCCCGGTGGAGGAACCAAAGACGACATCGAAATCGACGAGCTTATGCATCGGGCCATTTCCAATCTCTCGTTGGATTCCCGAGATCGCATTTCGCCCGCCACATCCTCGGCAGCTCCGTCACGTGGAGCTCCTAGCCTGCACACGCCCTCGCAGTTTAATGATGTCAGCACTTCACCCATTCCGCTCCAGAAACCACCAACCGTCATGGGCATACCATCGCCAGTGCCCTCCCAACTGTCGGCTGTGTCGCAGCTCATTGATACCGCCACCAAGCAAATGGGCGACAGGGAAAAGGAAGCCTCCAGGGAGAAGCAATCTTGGGCCACCTTCGATTCACCAAAGGCCAGGGGTAAGGCGAGGTTAACCCTGCCGCCGCCACCACCGCCTGCTTCCACTACTTCGCAGCCGGACACTGTAGAGTCGCCTTGCAGCTCGGATCCCCGGGATGATGGTTGGTCCAAGCAGCAAAGGCGCTGGGCTAAGAAGGAGCGCCAGCAGACATCCTCATCTTCCAGGGATCTAAGTCCCTGGGATGATGAGACGCCGGAGTATCTGAAGCGACGACAGATGGCTGCCGCCCAAATGGCTCATCCGCATCAGCAGCAGCAGCAGCAGATGCCGCCGGATAGACATGGTTATTACATGCGACATGCCAGAAGGATGAACTCCTGCGATGAGGATTATGAGTAAGTGGATAATCAGTTTAAAAAATTTATCTATAGTTTAATTTATGTTTTATAATCCCTCTCTGCAGTTACGATGCGGAGTTTATGGCACGCCGGGATCAACAGCAGCAGCAGCGGAAATTCAAGCATGGTCTATCCCGCAGCAGGGACAACTTTGAACTGGGTAAGCACTTGCTCTAGCTTCTTCTCCTCCAGTCTCACTAGAACTCTAACCTCTTCCCTCCAGATTCACCCAGTTGGTACCATCATCCTGCCCACCATACCTGGTCGCCGCAGGAGATTGAGCAGGCGCGTGCCCGTTCCTTTGAGCGTGCTGCCTACGAACGCTCCAGCTATGGGCCACCACCTCCAATCTATGACAAACGTGGTCAGGTTAGGAGCAAATATCGTGGCGATCACAGGGACAGGGAACGCGAGAGGGATCGTGAGCGTGAGTATCGTGACTACGCTCGTCCCAGCTACGATTTTGAGTACGAAAATGTATACGAGGAACGTGGCGGACGCTCTCCCATGGCCTACAAGCCCGGCAGAGGCGGCGTGGATTACTTATACGATAGAGAACGAGATAGGGAACGAAATCATGAACGGAAATCCTTTGATCGGGAGAGTCTCGAGTCGTACGAGAGCGCCAACCGGCGACGTCGCAGCTTTGGCAGTGGCAACGATGTCTACGGCAGCCTGGACAGTCGCGATGATTATCGTGGTGAGAGGGAAAGGGATCGGGAGCGGGATCGCGAGCAAATGAAGACTAGATCCCTGCGTAAACCCACAACAACGTCCGGGAAACTAAGAATTAGTGGCGACATTGACTATGAACAGGATTCGGAGCAGGATTTCCAGCAGCGAGCGGCTGTGGGTAGGAGTAGTCTGCAGAGACCCAGCGATGGGGTGCTACCCTCCAGTGCAACAGTGGGGGGTCCACAAAGACTGCGAAAGAGTAGCGGTTCTAGTCCTTGGGATGGCGAGGGTAGGTCTATTTTTCTCTAAAATGTAACAATTTTGAAACAATTTTTAAAATAATCTTTATTTATGCCTTAGAACCCTCTTTGCCTGGCCAGAAATCCTGGAAGCGTCCAGCCAGCGCTGCTGAAACAGAGCGACGTCTGGCCGAGAGTCGTCGAGCGGCGGCCTTGGGACAAACTCCCTCGGATGGCGAGAAAGAAAGAAGGTTTGTCTAGCATTTAAATGTAAAAAATGAAATCAAGAATAACTTGCAATTTCTCTTCCTAGATTCCGCAAAAAGACCCGTGCTCGCAGTGCCAAAGATCTAGCCACAGTGGGCGTGACTGCCGCTGCTCCACTTCCCTCCCGTTCTGGTTATGGTCGAGGCGGCCTAAGGGATAACTATGACTACATATGTCCAGGACAGCGTAACGATCTAGATGACGACGACGACGATGATGATGAGGACTATGTGGATGATGAGCCGCCCACGGATGAGGATAAGTTTGAGCGTTTGAATCGGCGACGTCATGAGATGCACCAGCGTATGTTGGAGTCCGAACGTAGGCAGCTAGAGCGCCATCAGCCCCCCTCGCTGGCCAAGTTGCCGGGACAGAATCATAATCGTGGCGGCGGCGGCGTCGTGGTCAACAGTGACTATGGTTTTGTGGACAGCTATGAACAGACTCCCACACCTACACCGCGCTCGAATGCCAGTAGCACTGGACCTGGCGGTGGCGGTAACCTAATGATGAGCGGTGGCGAATCCTCTGCTGGGGTAACCAGCTCCAAGTTCAACTTTGACGATGGTTTTGAGTCGGATTTCAATCAAAGTTCACCGCCACCGGCACCAGCTGGCACTGCCTCCAGTTGCAATTCTACGCCAGCGGGTCCTGTGTCTGGTGCAGGGAATAACAATGGTGGATCCAAGAGCCTCTTCCGCTTCTCCAATGACTTTTCGGACCGCGAGAAACGTGAGCAATTTGAGGCGGAAACGCCGCCCACATCGACGCCGCCGATTACGCAGAAACTAAGATTCGATGACAATGTCAAGGTGTCCCAGTTTGATGATGCCGCCTTTGAAGATGACTTTGCCAAGGCGTCCTTTGATTTTGAGAAGGAGTCAGGAGGCGGAGGAACAGGAGCAGCAGCAGCAGCTGGGGGTGCTCTGACCCGAAAGCAGAATATGCGAACAAGCAAATTGCAGCAGCGACAGGAGTTGATTAAGAAATCCGAATCGGTGAATATATTTGCCAAGAAGCAAGAGGATCCCTTCGAAGACGATGAGTTCTTCAAGTCACCGGATCAAGAGGAGGCAACCAAGGAGCAAGGTCAGGACGATGGCGAGGCAGGGAAATTCCAGTGGAACGAGGACGCCAATTTTGCCAAGTTCGATGAAAACATGTGATTTGACCAACTCTTTGCCCAGGCATCGAGCAGTGGTCAACGTTGTCCGCAGGAGGACCACAACTATGCGGAGATTGATGTGGTCAACGACACGGATTTCAACTACCTGACCAACCTCAATCATTATTACCAGCAGCAAAGGCTGCAAAGCCTACGACAGAGCTTGAACCGCAATCCCATTTACTGCAATCTTCCCGTTCCTCAGCAGAAGCGGGAAGATACTCCTCCACAGCCCACGACCAGATCTACGTCCACATCCACTAGTCCCTGGCATGAGCCCAAGTCCAAGTCCAAGCTGCTGGTGCTAAGGAAACCCAAGAAGTGGAAACTAAAGCGCACCTTGGATGACTTTGTCAAGTGTTTGATTATAGCCTCCTCCTCGGCGGAGCATGTGTATGATTACGATGTGCTGTGGTAGGAGGAGGAGGATTGCGAGGATAGGGAGAGCGGGCAATACTCCTGAGAGGATTCGCCACGATATATACATAATATATATAAATATATATCAGTCGCCACATTATATCTAGTCAACTTAAATATCAAATGCCATAACCAATTTGTAATTTGTAATATCGTAAAGCTCTCCCTCTCTCAGGATTTCTTTGCCGCCCTTGCCAATCCTGGGACTTTCGGATCCTCTCCCCCTTTCCCTTTAAAACAGATTGTATATATAGATATATCCCCGCAAAAGCCATAGTGAATAATAAGCGTTTGTTAAAGTTAAACCCAACGCAAAACAAAAAAAAAACTCCAACAACACTCCACAGCTAATACTCATGAGTCCCCCAATCATCAATCGATCTACTCAGATTGATCCAAACTAAACGAAAGCAACTAATCATTGGCCTATGCTAGATGTCGTATAATCCCTTCGATATATATAAAAGGGTAAAGGATTATCCACTGTGCTAGAGCAAACCAGATACTACATAATTATAATATATATTATTATAATTATATATATTATAATATTCCTAGGATACTTTTATTGGCATCATTTTTATGATTCAAGTTGCTCTAAACGAACTAACTAGTTTAATTGTTTTATGATTTAACTACATATTTATACACCATATGTATTTATACGTAAATGAAACTGAACGATCAAGCAGCTTAATTATAATAATACGATAATTATACAAAATACGAGCATATTCTTTAATATGTAATGCAATTAATACAAAAAAACGATAGTTATTACCAAGAGATGTTTCAATTATTATTGAATTTTATTTTTTTGTCATCTCATCTGGTTTGGTTCTATTAATTAAAATCTGTGAGAAGCATTATAAAAATGGGTTTTATTTGGGGATTTTTTTTAAGGAATCACAAGTGAATATCAGAATTCTCAATTGCTGTTCTTAAACATATTTCTATTAAAATAGAAACCTTTAAAGCTAACACAACACAGCTCTGACGCAATGTCTAAAACCATATAGGCAAATTTCTGCTCTTGCCTTTGCCCATGCCTGTAATTTTAGTTGGCCACTTTTGGTGCCAAGTCTTTGACAATTTGGAGCGACAATTAGCAGGGCTAGGTTGTGGTCTCTTAAGAAAAACTATAAAATACTATTTGCTTCAAGACAAACGAAAGCACATTCAGTTTTTGGCCTGCATTGACAGCAGTTGCAGCAGCATTGATCTCCCTAAAAATGCAGCAAAAGGTAAGCAGAATCCTTAAAAATCCATTTACACCTTCAGTTTATAAACCTTATTTCCAGTTAATTATAATCTCGCTTGGTTTGCTGGCGATTGTGCCTGCCAGGCCAACTGTGGCTGCCTCGCTGATTCCAGCAGTGTCTCCCTTTAGAATCTATCCAGGATTTGGAGCTCCTTTTGAAGCCCCCGCTGCAGCCTATGCCGCACCACCGTTTGCTACTCCCCTAGGTAATCCTTTAGGGGTTCCTTTGAGTGCTTCTCCCTTGGCCGTTTCCAGTAGTCAACGTTTGGATTACTTTAATCAGTTTAATGCCGCCTATGCTCCAACAGCTCCTGCTCGTCTCTTGGCTGGACCATTTACAGGCCAATTTCCAGCTGCTCCTGCTCTTAATCGTTTTATACAGCCAGGTCGATTGATTGCTCCTGGTGTAGCAGCTCCATTTTTCTTTTAACTTGAAATTATTTATAATTATTCTTTAGTTTGTTGAAGTGTTTGAAGTGCAATAAAATGTAAAAAATTGGTTAACCACAAAAAACCCTGCCAAGTCCTGGTTTGAAGCTGCTTTTTAACTAACTAAAAACTATCATATGGCAAACTTCAACGGCATACAAATTTCCGAATTTAGTTTCCTTTTTTGTTGTAATTGTATTTTATTTTATACAAGTTTTTTATATATTTTCATAGGATTACAAACATAATTTCTTTTGAAATCGAAGATTATCACAATAAATTGTAGGTGGAATATATATATCCAAAGCATATAGTAATTCTTCACCACACTCCCCTGTAGCCATAACCATAGTTATATGTGGGATAATAGTACGGATAGGTGTACTGATATGTGGAGGTGTAGGGATAATGGTAGACAGGATACTGAGGATATGAGGGATATCCTCCACTGTACTTGTAGTAGGTACTTGGAGGATATGTTGCTGTGGGCACGTAGACATTACGATTCCAATTACGGGTAACAAATTGATGGCTGGTGGCCAAGGGAACCACAGTGGCGGGAACAGCAGCACCCGGAACAGCTGCAGGAATGGTCGGTATCACTGTACCCGCGGCAGTTGCTAAGCTGGTTTGGAACAGGGCCAAGACCATCAGCACTAAGTAGCCCAAAGGGGCAACAGATTGCTAAGGGAGAAGGATTTTTGAATTTAGAATTGTTTACTGGACTTCAACCTGTTCTAACTACTTACAATCTTCATGATGGTGACTTCAGGTGGTGTTAATCTGCCCGGGCCACCCTATCGCTGGCCACTGTTCACTCGTAACCTGACCAAGTTTCTTTTATAGCTTGCAATTCCCCCCACTTGGATTTGACTTTCAAATGCAGTTGACCATTTCTGGGATTGGGTTGCCATTTTTGGGCCACCCGCCTTGCATTCAAGGGCAGATTTGTGCATTCCCAAAGAAGAGAATCGAACAAAGCTATGGCTTGGTAGGGCTTAAATAACAATATCTATATTTGGGTGACGCAAGCGGAATTTGCAAGCCCACAACAAAGGAATCTTCGTTGAATTATGTTGCAATCCCATTCATTGATCGCCAAGAAGTAAGAAACAACTGTGTAAATATACGATATTTCGTATATAAATAGGTCGCTTGCCTTGGCTATCCATCATCATCTGCAAACATGAAGCTTCTCCTACAGCTGTCACTGCTCACTCTAGGCCTGACTCTGGCCTTGGGTCAGATAGTGCCTCGGAGTAGCTGGTGTCCTGTGCCGCTCTCACCGCGTCTGCCCAGGCTTGCAGCTCCTGTGCGCCTCATCATCATCCATCACACGGCAACGAGGCAGTGCTTTAATCCTCAGCAGTGCCAGCAGGCTTTGAAGAATATTCGGGCGGATCATTTGCGTCGAAGATTCAGGGATATTGGCTATAATTTCCTGATTGGTGGGGATGGACGTATATATGAGGGCTTGGGCTTTGGCATACGCGGCGAGCATGCTCCCAATTATAATAGCCGGTCCATTGGCATAGCTTTCATTGGAAATTTCCAGGGTAAGTTGAAGGATTTTTAAATATCAGTTTTAGGTAATCTTTATTATACATTCTTTTCCTCTAGTTGGTTTACCTCCTGCCCAGATGATGCAGGCTGCCCGTACTCTCATCAGCATTGCTGTTCAGCGTCGCCAGGTTGTGCCCAAATACTCCCTGATTGGTCATTGCCAGACCAAGGCCACTGCGTGTCCAGGAATACATCTACTGAACGAGCTGCGTAAGATGTCGGGTTATCGCAGAATTTAGAGAATTTTAAAAGGTTTCTGCATTTAAAAAATAACCAAGACCTGTCACTTACTGCAATTGTGTAAATAAATCTTTTAAACTTTATATAAAAACAATTTTTTTAGTTAAAAAACACTTAAAATTCATTCTTTTCTTTTATATTTTCTGTTACACTGAATTTTAATAATTAAATCTCAAAGTCTATCTAGTATCTAGTCTAGTTTTGCCTCCAGTGAGGCCACGTCTTAATCTCATTGTACAAAGCATCTCCGGGACAGGAGGTGGCCTTGGTTTGACGATGTCCAAACAGAGTATAATTATCCTTGAGATGTCCACGCTGTTTGGCCAACTCTATAAGATCCTTGGCATTCTGCAGCATCTGAGCTGAGGGCGCTGTACGCTCAAAGTTTCCAATGAAGACAATGCCAATGCTCTTGCGATTATAGTTGGGGGCATGTGATCCCTGGAGGCCAAAGCCACGACCCTCGTACACCTTGCCATCGCCGGCGATTATAAAGTTATAACCAATGTCGCTGAAATTCCTGCGTCCCTTGTGATCCGACTGAATGTTCTTGATCATGCGCTTGCACTGATCGGACGTAGAGCATCCATTGGGATTGTCCGAGTGATGGATGATCACATAGTCCACAGGTCCATTTATCCTGGAAGGCGATCGGGCAGCCACAGCTCCCCAACTGCTGCGAGGTTCAATTTGCAAGGCATTCGCCGAGAGAGCTTAGGAAAGGTAGAGAGTTGGGTTTTCGATAAGGTAATTGCTTTTGAGGTTTTTGTTTAGCTTGATTGATTACCTAAGAAGCAGAGCGTCAGCGCTGCAACAAACTTGATTGCCGTAGATGTGTTCATCTTTAGAAGATTGTTAAGACTTTGTGAATCTCCGGCTCTGGGGTTTTGTTTAAATAGGAATCACAGAAAGTAAAGGGGAAACGAAGTGGAAAGTACCCTAGAGAGGAATATTTAATAAGATATTTCGGAGTTTAGTAATAACTTTTCCTAATTTTAAAAACTGGTTTTAAGGTAATGAACAGTTTTTTAGGATACCGTAAATGTTTTAGAAAAATAAAATCGTATAAAAGTACCCAAAAACCGTATTTTCTACACTTTTTAGTTAAATTATTTTGAAAATTTGTCTTTTCATGGTTTTAAAAAGCTGTCGAAGTAAAAACCTGTCATTCCCACAGAAATACCATAGAAAAACAAACAGCGTTTGCGGTGAAGAACCCGCGGGGAATCACTGAAGCCCCCAAACTGATAAGACACTGCTCCCAGAGACCCCAGCACAAGCTTATATACATAATATATATATACAAAAAGGCACACTCTTATTTAGTTATAAACATCATATTATTAATATAAAATAAACTAAAAACAATAGTCAAAACACTTTACTCCTCAATGGCCTTTCTTTCCTTGGCAATTTTCTGTTTCTTGGTCTCTTTCGGCTTGGATTTACCCTGCTTCGGTTTCGGTTTTGCGTTGTTCTTAGTCTTCTTGGCATCCTCCTCCTGTATATCACCGGCCTTCAGCTGCAGCTTCTCCATGAATGTCAGCGGACGATCCACGGGATTCTCCTGCTTCTTTTTGTGCACCAACGCTTGATGGGCTGTACGCTTCTTATCCGCCATTTTCTGTGCCTTTTCTGTCTCCTGGCGATGGCGTAGACTGTTCAGTGCCTGCTTATAAATAGCTGCATGCTCTATCTCAATGTCCGGTGATACTTGTATTTCCTCGCCCATAACTTTGCCCACATCGTTGAGCATTTTCTTGAATCCCGACTGATCCTGTTCTGTGAGCAAAGTCACGGCTGTGCCCTTTCTACCCGCACGAGCTGTGCGTCCCACGCGATGAATGTGGGTCTTGATGTGTCGCGGTGCCTCGTAGGACAAGACCACATCGATGTCCGCCACATCGATACCACGAGCCAAGGCATCCGAACAGATTAGGCCATTTATCTTTCCCCTGGTAAAATCTCTCAGGGTTAGGTTTCTCACTTTAGCCGTAAGTTTGCCCGATAATTCGGCCACTCTGGTGTGAGACTCCTTGAAGAGGGTCTGCATCACGAAGGCTAGGCGATTGGCCTGATCTGTGCTGTTGGTGAAGCAAAGGAATCGCTTCCATTGGTATTTCTCAACCAGAGCGAACAGGGTCAATGGTTTCAGCCGCAGCTCTGTTATACAGAATTGCTCTGTTAGTTCAGCAGGTGTAGTATATTTTCCCACAAATTGGCCGCTATCTGTGTTGGTATTAGCATCACCCTCCTCTTCTCCAGTCACCTCCTTCATCACAGGCATTGTAAAGACGGTGGTGAACAGGCGTGGCTGGAACAAGCGCAAATTCTGCAGCTTTTCTGGATCCTGCGACAGGGTAGCCGAGAACAGCAGCTTGTGCGGCTGCTTGCCAAAGCTGGCCTCCAGTTCGGCATAGCAAAGAGGAGCCTGGGTGCCAGCCAGCAGCTGATCCGTGGTCTCCTTCACATGACTGTCCAAGTGATACAGCCAGTTCTGAAAAACAGCATCCATGATGCGATCAGCCTCGTCTATGACCAGGAATTTGAGGCTTTTTAGGCAAAAGCCCTTTGTGGCATGCAAATGATCCACCAGGCGACCTAAAAGATAAGTTTTTCTTATAATTTTCACTCTTCAACCTTAGCTAAGTAAACCCACCTGGTGTTGTCACCACAATATCCACCTTGGAGTAGTATTTCCCCTTGTACAGTTCCACCAGCTTCTCTTGTTCATCCTCCAACTTGTGTTGCTTGGACAACAGGCACACCTCCAGCTCCGTTTTGCTGCACAAAGCACTGATTACGCGATACACCTGCAGAGCCAGCTCTGCCACAGGTAGCACCACCAGAGCCCTAACTTTGCACTCGACGCGTTGCGATAGCAACTGGACAATGGGAATGGCAAAGGCTAGGGTCTTGCCACTGCCTGTGGGTGCTGAAACGCATATATCCCGCGGACGAAAGGGTGGCGGTTTCGATTGAGCCTCCAGTATCCAAGGGATGACTTGTCTTTGAACAGGAAACAAGTGCTTTATCTTCATTTGCTTAAGAGCCGCACAGGTGGTTTTGTCCAGATAGGAGACTTGGTCAATGGTCTCTACATTCTGGTTATCCTCCGCATCGGGCAAGAGGTTGCCGCCTTCTATGATCGTGGGATGTGCCAGCCAACTGGGCAGCTGCATCTCCACTCGACGTTTCTTCTGTGTGGCTTCATCACCGCCCAGAACTTGGAAGTCATTTGAGGGCGACTGGGGCTCATCTTCCTCTTGAATTTCCTCTGTTTGTGCTTCTTCTTGGGGCTCTTGGGCTTCTTGTTTTTGTGTTTCTTGGTTTTCTTCTTCTGGAAGTACTGTCTCCTTAGTGGCTTCTTCTACAACTTCAGTTTCCTTGTGTTTCCTCTTTCGTTTGGCTGCCTTTTTAAGCAATTTCTGCAGTATTTCATCTTCATTGTTGGTGGCCTCACGAGTTCCATCTTTTGTTTTTTGGAAATCCTCGTTGTAACTACGGATATTTGATTTTATTTATATTATTTAAAGAGTCCTAGGTAAAACTTACCGATTTACAGTGAATAATTCCATTGTTTAAGCTATTTTTATTTAATAATTAAAGAATGAAAATAATGCACGTGTTGCCGCGAGTTTGTTTACGTTTTTACAGGCAGTGTGACCCTGCCTTAACTTGGGTTAAATGCCGAAATACAGTGTTGCCGTACTGTTAAATTTAAAGCCGGAAAATTTGAAATATTTTCATTTTAATTTATTTTGTTAGATGCATATTTTTTATTAATTCTTAAACGTTCATTTATACATTAATTAATTATATTATAATAATATAATTAGATTTTATACATATAATAGTATAATTTAATTATAATTATTAGGCGAATTTGAACAACAAATTAAAATAAATATTACATTGAAATTAAATTAACTTTTAGTAAAGATCTATTTGTGACCACAAACTATTTTCCATATAAAAATATCATTTATTTTGCTAAATTGTTAAGCTAATCCCAATAGCTTTCATCACAATTTATTCATTTTGTAGTGATATGTATATTCCAGATTTCAGGAATAATTTGTAATACTCCCGTAACCACAAGCTAAACAATTGGCAACGGAAATAAACAACAACATTAGTTCATATTCCAGTTTTCTAGGGGATTTGTGGTTTCCCAACTTGGTAGTAGCCACTTCATTCGATCTACGAAATGCGTTGGATGCGTATGCAAAAGTGCCCCCAACTTCTTGGGTTTCTTTGGGGATTTTTATGCCGGTCAGTGATTTATAAATTGACCCAGACAACCCAAAGCGTTCCACGTGAGCGGGAGATACATCCAAAAAAAAAAATACTCCTCACCGCAGATTCGTATTTATTAATTAATGTTTATCGAAACCGGTTGCTGCCGGCCCGCTTGCTCCACTAAAATAAGAGAATCTTTCCAAAATTAAACAGGGGAAAGACTTGTGAAGCTTCTGTGGAAGTTGGGGACTTTCTTTGACTATTTTAAGACCTTAAGGTTTGTCACCAAATGCCTTATTTACGTCAATGATCTTTTACGTTTTTAAATGGCTTCATTAATCATGTAACTTTGAGTTTGATTCGAGTTGGGAGCTGTAGCAGTTGAACACCTGTGACCAGAAGCAGACAAGCCCACCTTGTGTGTTGATATTTATATATATTACATATTGGAATACCACTCGAAACTCCTCCTTTTGAAACCCAGTCATAATAATTGAAATATATAGAGCTTGGCAACTGGAAAACAGATTTTTCTACGATCGAAACATTTGTTTGTAGATGATCGAACACCTGTCAGGGACTGGGAGACACGCCTCCATCACGAATCGGAGCATATAGTATTTAAAGCTATATATTGTTAACCAGGCGGTTTAACATTTTATTAGTTAGCTTACTTTCGCTTTGTAGAATTATAAATATAAAGGGAATAAAGGTGAAGGTAGTTTTCAAAATATTCTTAAAATTAGCAATGTTTACATAAGGAAAGTATAATAGAACTAAGCACCTTTCTTCATAATCAACCTGGAAATAAATCCCCTAATACTATATATATTAAAATAATGTTAATATATACGTCACAGCGTCAATTCCTTAACACTGACTTTCAAAACTTTCAGTTCGTATCCAGTGGCAGGTTCTTTCATTTAGCACATGTGCGGATTAAAATATCAAACTGGAAATGGAGTTTTGCTTATAAAACGTTTCGCGATTGCGGATACAAAAGCTGTCCATATATTCAATAATGGCCATTGTAAGGCAAATAATTTGATTGTTCAATTCTTTTTTTGGGCGAATCCATTGGCAAAACGGGTTTCCATTTGGTTACGTTCTTTTTTTTGTTTTAGAACCATAGATCCATAGGAACTTCCCCAGATCCCAGGCCAACCTAGACTCTATACTTTTGTAATAGAAATCTTATCTTTGGCTGTTCCATTATCTTTTATCTTTTCAATCTAATTGAATTTCTCCGACACACATTTCTCACTCTCACTTGGGACTCCCTGGGTTCGAGCTCTCTTTTCTTTATCATTCTTCCGGGAAAGAATCGGGGCTGGTGTTGTACATCTGCACTTGTTTAAACATTGTTTTCGTTTTCTATTTACTATAAATTTTAATTAAAAAGGGTTGCAGTAGAGGAAGTGTTTACTAAAAATATTTGATAATAATAATAGGGAATGGCTCATTTATAGCTATTGGCGGTAATCAATCGCGTTTAGGTAACATATGATTACCTAATGTATTAAACGTGAATCTCGTGGTTATTTTACGGCTTTCTATATTATAAAGAACTTGAAAAAAATCGAAAAAACCAAAATCAAACTACAAGTAGTATTTAAACTTTATAATAATCCCATACTCGTGCCCTTTGTGGGGTTTTACGGCTCTCTGATTATATTTTCTTATTGAATAATTTATGATTAAATCGGTTTGTGGTGTGTGTTAAAATTTGAATAATATTTGCAAGCATTTGAATATCACTCCATTTTTCCCTCTTCTATTTAATATTGTGAGAGGGAATTCTTCAAAGTTTTCAGAGGAAACAAAGGTTAAAGAAATCAAGAATAAAATATTTTTTATTAGATCTTAAAATTCAAAAAAAGATTTACTTTTGATTTATTATTTATTTAGAAAGATAGATATTCTAAGAACTGTTTCTAGGAAAATTATATATTTATTCTAGTTCATGAGATTTTTTTGATGGGAATTCCTCAAAACTGTACCAAGTTCGAAAGGTGATAATTGGGAATGTCTGATAAGGAGACTTTGATTTCCTAAGAACGTATGTACTTATCTTTCTCGTGACGATTTAAATAGAAAGTCTTGTTTCGTTCAATTTTTGTATGAAAATAATTTGACTTTGAAATATCTTTGCTTTAAGTAAATAGTTCTTGCCTTATCGATGCTCTACTCTCGCAAATATATAAATTTAGGACACTTTTTCGATTTTATTTACATTCATTATCATTTTTACAAATATAAACAAACCAAAATAATGGTATATGTATTTCTAAATATCTGGAAACATCCCATTTCAAGTAAGAATTTAATTAAATGCTCTACTTAGTCTGAAAAAAAATCACAAAAACTTGCCAAAAATGTTCTTAAAATGTTCTTAAAACCAATTACCTTCTCATAATGATTGTTCGTGTATATAAAAACAAACCCGATTTAGCGAAAGATAATAACAATATCGACACCTGTTGATCTCAGGTGGAAGAGAAAAGCAGAAAAGGGTGCAAGTGCGACAGAGAGACACTGAGAACTTGTCTATGACTCGACGCTGACGCTGACATCGACGCAGAAACGTCGCTCTGCTGACGCTGACGCAGAAGCTCAGAGCCCCACGATTCGCTTGCGATCGCTTTATAACGGTAGGACATAAAGCCGCCGGAGTTCATTTGCAAACGTTTCGCGGTTGGCTTAAAACGCTCGCGAATAAACGCGAAAAGTTTAACAAAAAAAATCAAACGAAAAAGTTTAAGGCAGCAAATCTTCGGTCGGGTTTTTGCTACTTAAAAGTTTTCGGTTCGGAATTAATTAGTTTCGCGTTTAAGGATATATCCAAACCAAAAATCATGTGGAAATCTATACTGCCCGCCTTGCTGTTGATTGCCTCGTAAGTGTTGGTGGAAAAAGCATTTTAAAACCGAACTAGATCACTAAATTGGCCTAAAATAAACGATTAATTAGATGAAATTAAAAATATTTTAACTGGAATTAAATGATACTACAAGAAATGAAACAAATAACTAAATTAAAAAAGGGTTTAAACTTTATTTGGATGTAAGATATCTTCCATCTTTTGATCTTGGAAAGCCAAAAAATTATAAGTATAAAATTTCAGAATTGGTTATATCTAAAAAATCAAAATATTAATCTTTTTATTCAATAAAATTAATTGTTTAAATGTGACTTAAAGTTTTCAAAATTTTGTTTAAATTACCTAACTGGTATTAAATCATTTCTAATCACTAAATTAACATTACTTAAGAAATAAGGAAATCCCTTCACCATAAACAAATATTTTATAAACATTTAACAAAGAAGCATAATGACTTTATGCCAAAAAATATGCGACAAAATAAAAGAAATAATTTATTTAAATCTCAGATTTTCTAAGATTTTTTTTTTAGTTTTGAGTGATGTCAGTTCCTTTTCCAAGACTTAAGTTTAAATTAAACAAAAAACACCACAAGAAATCTCTGTTAAAAAAATCCAACCTGGCCCAAAGAAAGCCCCCTTAAAATGTGTATCAATCCAGAGAGGTGACCTTGGCCAGGCAATTGATATAAATGACTGGCCAATACGATCATAAAAACGTATACAAAATTAAACAGTAAATAAAAATTGTCGTAACATTCGTCAATTTTGAATGTCACTTGATTAGCAAAATAAGCAGCAGCAGCAGCATCGCGAGAAGAGGGTCACCGATCTTGGGGGGGGGATTTCTCGTATCAGATTTAGCAACATCTTTCGATTAACACATTATTACCATATCATTTTTACAGATGCCTTGGCACACCGGTGAGCCAGACCCGCCGCTTCCCCAACGACTTTCTCTGGGGCGTTGGTTCGTCTTCCTACCAAATCGAAGGCGGTTGGAATGCCGATGATAAGGGCGAGTCCATTTGGGACTTTCTCACCCACACACATCCTGAGAAAATAGCCGATCAAAGCAATGGAGATATATCCGCGGACAGCTATCATCAGGTAAGTCACATAAGATAATGGACACTAATAATAATGGTAGTCGTTGTCGGTTCGTTTGTCATCGTATATACTTTTTTTCATTGGAAGTTATGCAAAGAGTTCAAGATCTAGCGAAACTGAGGTAATCTACTGGAAAATATGTGTGAGCAAATAGCCAATGCGATGCACTCAGATGGCTATTAGTTACACGGCTAATTACGTGATATTATCTGGATCTGTTGATGGTGATCGGAGGCGATGTATTAGCATTAAGAATGGGGTGCTTTGATTGCTTGAAGTAACTAATTGTTAGGTATTTATTGTAGTTCTTTTAATGGTAATCAAGGGGAACACTTGAAAGGAGATCTATTTAGCATAGAAATACCATTTTATGAGATCTAGATACCATTTTGTTGTCGTATTTTTTTTACAAACAAA